GGGGAAGGGGAGGGAAGAGAGGAGAAGGGGGTCAGCCAAACAGAATCCATTTATTACAAGGTTTTAAGACATAGGAGATGAGATAAGGCAGATAAATTAAGGGGGGTGGGGTGGGGGTGGTGTTAGGGAAAGAGGTGGAGGTCAGCTAAATCATCCACACCTACCCTTCCACTCTGGCTATCCCCTGGTCCATGATGGGTGCGAGAGCTGCGGCCAGTTCCCTCTTGATGTGCCCCACCTGGACACTGCCCACATTGTCCACTCTCACCGCGTTAACGTCATACCTGTTGTGGGGCTCACGGACCAAAGAGACCATTTCACCTGTGTTCACCTGGAAAAGTTCCCATGTGTATAAAAAAAGGGATTAAAAAGCAAGTTGTTTTGTCATTTGGACTGCCTATTAGAGCAGAGGACGAACTACTGGTGGGACAGCTAATATTTTTGTTAAAAAATATAATTTAAAAATAAATAAATAAATGAATACAAATTAAAATTAGTGCTGATCCTGTTTTTACTTGCATTTAGTATATGTGAAGGCCCTTGCTATCTGTAATATATTATTATGTGCATGCTTTGAAATAAATCATTTTCTTATGTCAATACTAGTACTAGTAGACTAAATTTTCATCTCAAAGTTTACACCAGCTTGAGAAATCCCCACTGGAGTCACTTACTGTGCCTCTATAATACTGCAGTCCCACCACTGTTCCCTTCATAGTGCCAAATAGTACTTCATTGTCCAAGTAATCATCGGGCTCCACTGCTTCAACCATATCGTCAACATGATTGACCATGTGTCCTATGACATCACCGCTGCCGAATGGAGATGGTCCACGTATGAATGAGAGGTCGAGATTGCGCATGTACGCATTTGACGCAGAGTAATGCGATGTGCCTTTTCGACTTTTCTTTTTGCTTTTTCTCCAGCCATATTCGCGGTCTTCTCTGTCCCATCCGCCATAACTGTGCCACCTTCTTTTTTTCCACCACCTCCCCATTGCTTTGTGCTGCCACCCTTCTTTTCACAACCCTGAAATAACGAAACAGCAGCTCTAAAACAATTACAAAACTGCAGAATTAATGTGAATATCACTGGTTTCTTGTGCCTGGATTAGGCCACATGAAAAAGTTTTTAGCCTGGTATAGCATTGCTTAGCTGTCGCAAGACTGAGAGAGAAAGAGTACTTTATTTCAGCGTCAGTGTCTGTACAACCTCTCTGCTCTGCTTGCTATATTGCTCCCTACAAAACTAAATCTCTACTCTGTAATGTTTTCTGTAAGACCACAACCCATTTTACACTGGTCATTTCACTTATAGTAACTCAATGTTTAACAGGAGTGTTCTATTATCTGTCATCAGCTTATACTTGGCAGCACTGTTCAACTTCCAAGTCATTAATCTTTTTCATTAGTCTTTCAACCCAGTCTGTGTATTAATTAATACTTTCTCTTTATAAACACTTGTCTTTACAAAACCCATTTGGACACGTAAATATTTCTACTTAAAGACGTGTTATAATCTTTACAACTAAATTTGGACACAGATATAGCGAGCAAAATTCACACAGACCTAAATTCTGAAACTGTCAAAATGGCCACCGTGAACACATATCAAGTCTGGGCCGGTTCGCATATCTCAATATCACTCATGCATACAGGGGCTGCTTTCTTCGACTTTATCCCTCGTGGAACTGTTTCAAAAACTACACGAATATCACTGACAAAGCATACGGAAAGATACAAACAATTTTCACAACCACTTTCATTTTTTACCCATCTTTAAATGCCCTGCCCAACATTTCGTGTCTTACGAAAGAGATTTCATTCGCTCGATTTGAAAAGTTTAACTTGACATTCTTTCAGCAGCAACATTTGCCTCAAATCACTTATGAACCCGAAGATGCAACGATGAATTTGAATTTCAAAGCAAAAGACCTACGGTAAATCTAGTACGTACCACTTTCATTTACTTACCCAGCTCGAAACACGTCTTTCTTCCCGCTAACTCTGGCTGGCGAGATCCAGGGACAGATCTCGCGAGATTGGCGTGTTCTATAAATAGCCACACTGTCAACCACGTGATCCTACTTTCGAAGAAGACCTCAACAAGGAGAGCTGTGTTGTAAGTGCGTTTTAAACTTCATAGACGCTTTTAGAACTTATAATTTAAGATGTGTATGGTCGTGTTATTGTTTTGCGTTCATGTATGTGTGCAAGTCAGGCGCTGCCATGTCGCAAGGAGTGAAAAAGATGTGATTGAGCGATGAATGAACAAAAGTGTTTTGATACCGATTTCAATTTGTAAACATTGTGAAGCACGTGTTTTACGAAGGTGGCTCTTTTGTGAATATATTTTTTTGTTGTTTTTGCCTTTGCGTTCATTGTAATACGGCTATATAAGAATGTCACAATTTCAAGTTCTAGTGATAACGAAAGAGTATATCTGAACAAAAGTTATCAGGTGTTCCAGCTCGTTTCCACTTTATATTTTATTCGACTGTTTCCATTTCATTGTTGTCTAATTGAAACTGATCGTCTCGAGTATAAACGTACCCTAATACATATAATATCTGGTAAGTGCACGCTAAGCTGTATAATTGCAGGTGTGACTCATCTGCTTTTGTCTGGAAAGAACAGATGTGTGGTTAGTTTATACAATCACATGCTTGGATCATGAATGCTGAAAAAATCCTGGATTTTGAAAAATAGTTTTTTTACTAGATCAGAATATAAGAGCTGTTGGTCTTTCCACCCCCCCCCTCCTCCAACACATTCCTCCCTTTAAAGGCTTTCATAATGCATCAAATGAATTGCACAATAAATATATATATTTTAAAAAATCATGTTGGACGTCTTGAACAACATTGAAAGGAATTCAAAAATAAAGATGACATGCAAATTTATGACGGAGAAAAGATTTGTTCATAAATGGAAGCGGTGATATAAATGTCCCATCTTTGTGTGTCATCCACTTCTCCGTCAGATAACCCCCCTTCCCCCCCCCCCCTCACTGCCATTAGTCAGCATCCTAAATTTCTGAACATTTAAGGGAGATGGCAGATATAAATATGTTGGTTGTTGTATTTAAGAAGAGTTGAGCATGGATGCCATGGTATAGATAGCTGTCAAATATCAATAGTTGTTAAAAAATAAAAAAATTATGGCATTTTAAATGGTTGGTCTGATTAGGCCTGTTTAAAGGAGTTTGAATTTTTCCTCTGGACAATGCCATGGATTCTCCCCCCGGGGGGGGGGGGGGGGGGAGGCAGAAAAGAACCGATTTACATGTAAACAGAAAACATACTGTATTTTCATTTGCACTTTTGTGTTATTATCTCAGATTGCACCAAATGAAGACATGAAAATGAATTTCTGCTAAGTACTCGAGAGATTTATGACTTCTATTGAATAATGTAGACATAATAATTAAGTCGCGCCGGCAGATGTGACCTTAGATTGGCGTCTATGAATTGATTGATATTTATTAAAACGCACATGTCATGCTGCTCATGTTTTGCTTAAGTTCAAATTTGATTTTGGATATTTTTTTTTGAAAAACATTACAGATTATTTTTTCTTTGTCTAATAAATATTGAAAAATTTTAACTCAGATCATGCTTCATATATAGTGTTGCATTTTTGAGGACAAAAAATGACAAAAAAAACCATCAATTTTTTATGAAATTGTAAATTTGCCATAACAAAAGAAAAAAGAAAGAAAGGAAAGAAAAAATAGAATTTTTGATAATGGTCTTTTTCAGGTCATATTATCTCCCATTCAAGTTCAAATTGTCTCGGACAGCTCAGATAAAGTGATACATTATTCTGAGGTTAAGCCACAAAAGTTCTGATAAGGTTATGATGGGCACCATTGATCAATGAAAAACTAGTTATTTATCTGTCAAGATAAGCACCAAATGATAGAACGAACAATTACATTCAGAATGCAATGTCTGAATTTTTGCAGCACCCTGAGTTTCAGTGACTTCAATGTGGTATTACTTAGATGATAAAATTCCATTCTCTCTCTCTCTCCCCCCTCCCCCCAATGAACATTGGAGTGACCCATTATGTACACAGGGAGGATTACAAAGAAATATCATATAGACTGTATCATTGCTTTTACATCTCACATTTGTATCATTTGCTGCTTTCTAAAAGAAAAAAGATAAAAAAAATTGCTAGTGTACGTATGTAAGTCTGAACTTAAAGGAAGCCCCACAAGAATTAGTGCTCTCTTCAGTGATTCAATTTCCAAGTATTACATACAGTTTCACCAAACACTCTTAGTCATAGGCCACTCGAGAGAGAAGAGAAAATGAGAAATTGTGACTGATCTCTTTATTTATCGATATGATAATTAGAGAAACCCTGAGTATCATGCCTTTGGTATGAAACTGTTTGATTATGAAGTTAAACATTTGCCCTGAGAGTCAGGGGGCCTAAATTGACTATATAATTAGTCATAATGGAAAAGTGCACTCATTTGTTTATTTTTCATAAAGATTGATTCTGTGTAAATAAACAGAAGAGTATAGATCCAATAAGTCAGTGAGAATATTTACCTAAATAAGATATTGATAGCTACGTGAAGCTAGAGTTAATGATAGAAATGGTTATATGGAGCCAGAAGATTAGTGAATATCACTTTATGCCAAATGTAATATTAAAACAGAAAAAGAAAAACTGAAAGTAAAAGACAGTGGATAGAAAAAATAATAATAGAGGATTAAAATGGCTCAATCACCAATAACAATTATATATTCAGGCCAATCACCATGAGTTCCTGAATCACGTTTCACACAGAATATTGAGCTCAAATAATGCATCATACTCGGAAAATAAATCCAATCACATGGAATGTGAAAGGTACATATTCCCTACCCTCAATCTTCCACCCCACACTTTTGTCACTATATGTACACATACTTCACTACTGGTACTATACATTTATATGTTGTTTTGCTCCTAGTTTTGTAGAACCACATTTAAGAGCAACATGCTATAAGCAGAATTTTTTTAAAGATGTCATGAGATTTACCAGCCACCATGATAGTCTATATTCTGTTAACAGTGAGTCATCTCTGAAAACACATCAAGCTAGTTTGACTCTTTAGGGGGAAATTGCTCATCTAATCTGAACCAGTATGAATGATGTTGTTGTTGTTGTTGATGATGATGATGATTTGGATGGTATTGTGTATTTGTGATTTAAGATTGGCATGGATTTAGGACAAGGCAAGGTGGTTTTGATGTCAAAAGCATGACCCAGGTAAGCAAATAAGTATGTAATTAAATGATAAATGAAATAAAAAAAACATCATAAAAATGGAAGCAATGAATGTATTAATAATAAATAGATGTACATAAAAAATAAGACAAATAAATGAAAAAAAAATGGTGTATAGATCCTAAGATATTGCAAGACAGTCTCCATTTTTGATCGATGCTCTCACAGGTGAGAATTTGGACCAACTTGTTGTTTTATAATTGAAACAGGTGGCCTGCATTCCTTAGATTCTAAAATATATTAGGCATCGCAAACCTGTATTGTTGCACGACAGCTATCTGGGCAGCAGGTAGTGAGATATATAAATGAGTCTGCACATTTTTGTTCTCACTTGTTAAAAGTTTAAAAAAACTCCCCAGCCAGATCGCATGCATTCTTTGTCTGTTTTTTCTCCCTTTTGTCATTTTTTTTCTTTAATGAGTGTTTCATAAGCAGATGGTCTCACAAAAATATGTGGTGGTTTATTTTTCGAAAGTGTTACATTTGCTGCAGGACTTGATGATAGTGCTCAATAGATCTTTGTTTCAGTTTCAGATTATTTGATGTCGGGGAGGCTGAAGGTATTTTTAAAATATAATGTATGTAAAGTTGCAGTTTTAGTTTGTGGCTTTCGTTGTTGTTGCTGAATTTATAGCCATTTGTTTACTTCTGTCTAGGACACATAATTCACATCTTATGTCCTAGCTTTTATCTGGAGATCCACTTTCAACTTATCTTAGACCTCATTCCCATGTATACCTAGATTGATCTGGCAGGATTAACTCATCTTCGAGGGGTTTCTTACTGTTACCCCGTTCACACTATGCTCAGTTATCCGGATAAATTGCGAATTAGGTCACAATTCGAATAAATGCAGTAGTGTGAACGCAAGAGGATTTTTGTAATGCGCATTTTCAAAATCCTGCAAGCGAGGTGGATTTCTAAGCGCGATCCGGATAACTTACCGGAATCGACACCTGTACAGATCTTACTGCGCATGTGTGCTGATAAGTGCGGATATCTATGAACGCTTGTTTATTACTTTAGCGATTGCACCAAACGTATTTGGAGGTCACCACTCACTACAACATGAGGAAACAAACTTATTTTGCCACCTTATACTTCTCAAGAATGCTGGAATGTCTTCTGAGTTGCATTTGTCGTCACAAATTTTTGTTGGTATTTTAAGATTTCCTGTGCGGCGCATGCGCGAGTGTTCAAAACAGGAAGTTAAACCTGAAATTTTCAACATGGGATTCGGATTCGCTTAGCGAGTGTGAACGCAATACCGAATCGGATTCCTTACGAAAAATCCGAATTATAGAAATGCGCATTTTGGCAACTGTAGTGTGAATGGGGTATAAATTGCTTTCAGCTTAAGCAGCTTGGATGTCTGGTAGGCCTACTAAAGCTGCTAAGCGATAGATAATTACCCCCCCTAGCCTTACATCATTGCAATACAATCAGTGTGATAAAGAGCACTTTTCAGTTAAAATACCATCACTTTGGTCTGTTAAAAAAATAAACTTGAATGTTTAACCTTGACTTGGTCAAATATACAGAATTGAAATTATAGCTGTGTGGTCTCCATTACAGCTATTTAAATCACAGAGTTCATTCCGTCATGGACACCAGCTATATACTCTGTATCCTGTTAGGAGCGTGACTAGTGTATCTATGATGCAGAGGTGTTTATTGTCAAAGAAAGAAGTTGATTGCAGTGGGTCATACAGAGAATACATTGGTTGGCAACGTGATATCCTTGTGCATGCATGTGAGTGCGTAATTT